AGGTTAGTGCTTGTTTGCGTTTTGCGTTCGCCTTTTGTGTTGGTTGATACGAGTGAGTGTGAGTGTGAGTGTGCGTGTTGGCAGCGCAGAAATAGAAAACGAGTGCTTGGGTAACAAGGCAGGAAAGAAGAAAGAAAGGTTGCAGCCAAAATCATATTTCCTTTTATATGCAAGCGCGAAAAGGCCAGGCAGACTGGGCAGCTGAGCTGAAGAGAGTGGGGGGGGGGAGTGAGAAAAGTGGGTGGGTTTATGTGAGCAAGGCAGGAAAAAAGACAAGGCAGGAAAAAGGGTTGCGCCATAAAAATAAAAATGCTGGGGATACAATATCCAAGCTGGCTGGGTTGGCTTGGCCTGGCTTGGCCTGGCTTGGCTTAGCTTGGCTTGGCTTGACTTGGCTTGACTTAACTTGGCTTGAATATTGCAGGCGCCGCAGAGTAGTTTTTACCTTTTGGCTTCTCTTTTTGTCTTTTTTTGCCTTTTTTGCCTTTTGACGATCAGAAAGCAGCCTCAAGAAATAAATCTCAGCAAATGAAAGTGTGCACTTGCGTCCTGAAATTGGATTTTCAATGGCCTGAGCTGACACGAGGATCGAATCATTACGACACCTCTGCAGCCTCGGAAGCAGTCTATTCCAAGAGTGCAATGCGCCATTGCTCATACGTGTTGCGACGTGAGAGGGTGATCCCGGGATTCAATAAATGCTAGATGAGTGCAGCATATTTAACTGTGCGAGTTGAACACGTCGCAGATTTAAAAACTTCAATGCATCAATTTTCCATCTGCTTGATTTTCTATCACATCGTGGCCAAAACTGCCATTTAAATTTGCTTGTTCATAGTTTAAAGCCTTCAAAAATACAGCCATAAAGTAGTCTCAAGCTGACAATGAACTGGATTGGAGGACAAAGGTATGACATGTCGCCACTTTTGCGACAATTTTTCATTCAGGACGACAAATGAATACATCGTCAACAATCTGGATATGTCAAGATAAGCGTGCGATGGAGCGATATCTGCACAATGCAATAGTTCCCGGTATCAGCTGCACAAACAGAAATCCTCATATCTTGAAAATTGGCTTGTTTGCAGCTACTTGAACTTGAATGAATTAAATCATTTGACAGGGCATGCCCCCTTTTTGTCGAAATTTGTTGGGATAATCCAACGACTTTTTGTGGAATAGAAGCACGGGCAAAAAAGACCTTAAAGCTCGGCAAAAAATGTTCTTTGCGCAGCGTAGAAAAAGAGCTGAAAATTCGCACCAACTGCTAGTAAATTCAGTGACAGACATCCATGCAATTGCAGATTCCGCTGATGATTATACCGCCGAGCTGGTCAAAAACGAGAGTTGGTCGCATGGCATCCACTCGTCGCCGCGCATCAAGCGCATCAGGGGGAGCTTTGACATTTTCGCGCTTGCGGGGAAGGAAGAGTGTACGTTTCACAGGATATAGTGCTTACGCGTAGTGCTTGTGGGCACATCAGCTTATTTTTATTATTTTTTGTCACTATTCTACTCCCTTGTTGTAGTTATTAGACTAAGGTCGTGGCCAGATTCAGAATATAATAGCGTCACTGGTAGTGGCGTCCAGGGTGTTTCTGAGATTTCCCCCGCGCTGGCAACGCATTATGGCACAACAGATATTGGTGCGAGCGAAGCACCACTCATGTCGTCAGCATACAGCGGAACCTGCCAGAGCGATACCAGCGAATGCTAGAGCACCACTGAGGCGCATTCCGTTATCAAGTACTAGCCCAGCACTGCTGTGGCGATTACGTTCTTTCAGATCAAAACAAACGTTTAATGTTTTTAAAATGCATACATGTTTTGTTAGAAGGCCACTTCAACCTATATATTTTCGGCACAGTAATCTTGAGCGGTTACATTGCAACAACCTGATAATGTCGGCCAACCTCATAGTTTGGATGACGGATGCTTACACGGTAACACAAATACAAGTACAAAAAAATAGACTCCTGACAGGCAAGCAACTAAAATTTGTTGCACTGGACAAAAACGCCCATACTTCGCCCAGAGAAAATAGACCCATAGATCCACTTGCTCATTTGACGAAACCCTGTCCTATGTTAAGCAATTGATGGCTATAACTAATATGATATGTGAATGAATCAATCTGTGCGCTGCCTGCGGGGATGAGTAGCTGTAGTATATGGTGCTTTCCTTGGCCTTGCAACCGGCTGCTTCTATTGCTGAGTCTCTGCCAAATGATTGGACTTAATTCCATACCTCTGGCGAAGGGTGTTAACGCACTGTCAACGCAATATATTTTAACGGAATGTAAAGGTAAGTGCGTAAACACAATCTCCAAGATTATTTATTCCGCAGGTTTGGGTATTTGTTACAGATGCTTATTTTTGCTATCAAAATCCTAATTGCAGAGATCAAGAAATTAGCACCGAAAAAATAATAAAAAATGGTGCGCAGACCCAAACACCAAAAAAAAAGTTCGCATCTTCTGCTCGATCAACGCTCAATGGAGGGGCTTTCTTGTCTTCCTGCACTCCTATAATATTGTTTTATACTTGTCGGTATTACTTTTCAGCATTATCCTATTTTTGTAGTCACACTAAATTCAACCACACCACACACCTTACTATCGACATGGGTGCTGAAACCAAACGCAAGACTCGTCGCGGAAAGCGCGGTGGAGACGCCAAGCGCCCGAACGACACCGATGACACTGGGGTTGCAACCCAAGACACACAGCAGGGTCAGTCCAATGCTGCCTCCGCATCAGCAGAGGGGGCCACCGGATACGTTGCGCCGCCAATGTCTTCAGGCGACTCGCTCTTCTTCCTCGATACAAGCGCGCAGGCCGACAACATGGAGGACCAAATGGAGAAGGTCAGCCCGGCCTCCTACGGCCTTGTCAACCCCGACCTGCAAAAATACCTGAAGAGCTGCGAGGGCATGCTCGACGAGCCGAAGTTCGAGACAACTGAGGATCGCGACATATTTGTAAACAATGTGTACTCGGAGATGAAGAACTTTGAGCTGCAGCTGACGACAGATCACGAGTGCTCGCGTATTCTCGAGAAGCTGTTCCATATCTCCAGCGATTATCAGATTAGGCGGTTCGTCGCACTGACGCGCGAGGATACCATCAGGCTGGTGGTGCACCGGTTTTCGTCGCACGCACTCCAGACGATGCTGCTGTTGTCGGCAGGGGCACTGGAGCGCGAGTTGCGTGGCGAGTCCAGCGACTTTGATGGAAGCGTTGAGGTGGATGAGAGCAGCGATAATCAGGGCGTGCGCACGGTTTTGCCGACGTTCGAGGAGCTGGTGCTGAGTTTGGCCGAGACGCTTTCTACACGGTGGTCGTACCTGATGTCCAACGAGTACGCGTCGCATATTCTGCGCGTGCTACTTCTGGTCATGGCGGGAAAGCCCATCGAAGATCAGTCCAACCCTCAGAGTGCCATTAAGAGCAAGCGGTCGACCAAGTACATGGAGGACAAGAGCAACGCGTCGATGAGCCAGCGGTCACTGACAGTATCGCGCGAGGTGCCGGCATCATTTGGCCCTGCGCTTGAGCGGCTGCTGAACACTGTGGGCGATGCCATGGGCGACGTGGTGGCGCGTAACTTTACCAACAATGCGGTTGGCAGCCCTGTGCTGCAGCTGATGGTGGAGCTGCAGGCTGGGTTCACCAAGACCGAGTATCCTGGGTCGATTTTAGACAAGACCCTGATGAACCTGGCATCCGCCGGCACGACGGAGAACCCCCGCCGCGACTCATTCATTACGATAATGCTTGGCGACGTTGTCGGTTCGCATTTCTTGCAGGTTGTTGCCAAGGTTGCATCCCCGCAGCTCCTGCAGGCAATCTACGACCGGTACATGCGTGGAAGCCTCAAGACGCTGTCTTTCCACCCGATCTCCAACTTTGTTGTGCAGAGTGTCTTTGCCAATGCTAAAAACGAGCGCCAGCTGAAGGCTATGATTTCTGAGGTTGCGCCCATCTTCAGCGACTTGCTTTTCAAGAACCGCGCCGGTGTCGTCCGCGCCCTGATCGACTCGTGCGTGCGTCTGGAGTGCGGGTATATTGATCTCATTAATGCGCTGTACAACGGGCTCGGTGTGAAGTCGCCTGAGGAGCGCATGGAGCTGATCAACCTTCTGGCCTTCCTGATACCTTATAGGAACTTTGTCAGCGCCGAGTACAGTCAGCTGCCGTTTAAGGTGCAGGGCTCGCTGATTATCCAGTCGATTTTGCAGTTCCCCGGGGATGCCCAGACGCCCATCATGGACAGCTTCTTCAGCCAGGATATTGACAGGGTCATCTCGTGGTGCAAGGATCCTAGTGGCTCACGCATAATCGAGGCTATTTTTAAATCACCCAATGTGCCGTTCAAATCAAAGCAGCGCGTCATGGAGCGGTTTTCCGGACGGTACACTGATCTGGCTATGAACAAGTACAGCAGCCATACCGTCGATGCATGCTGGGGGATCGCCGATGTGGAGTTCAAGGAGACTGTTATCTTGGAGATGGTCAAGAATGCAAATCTGCTGCAAGACAACCATTTCGGCCGCATTGTGCTCCGCAATTGCGCGTTCGAACAGTACAAGCGCAGGGCCGAGGAGTGGCGCGAGCGCGAGCGCGGATTGGAGCGCAAGAAGCACATGTTTAAGGATATTTTGGGCAGCAAGATCGTCACCAGTGACGCCAAGCCGGCCACTACGATGCCAGGTGCCCAAAAGTCCGCCATAGAGGATGGATCTAAGGCTTCAAAGAAAAAGACGTCAAAGGTAAGCCAGATGCTAAGCCTGATATTTGTACATTCTGATGTTGCATATTGATTGCCCATTGTTGCATTTGCTAAAAACTGTATTGCATGCCATTGTTTCTATTTAATTCTGTAGTCCTCGGGTGCTGATGAAATCGACTCACTTTTCAAGAAATCGCACATTCGCGCATCGTCAAACGACCTGAAGCACAACGTAAGCCACAATACAATTCACATTTGCATTATATGGACCCAGTTTCTTCATTGTTTTTGATTATAGAGGATAGCCGAAAACAAAGGGCTAATTGACACTCACCCGCAATGATTCCTGCAGTTTTGTGCACGCATTACTAAAAATTTCTACATCTTCAAACATAACAAATAAATTTTATAGCAGCCAGAGCAGACCTCCAACGACATCTCTGTGGCTATTGATGCCAAGGGCGACAAGAATCTTGAGGCTGTCATGTCTGCCATTTCGGGAACTAAGCGGAAGAGCAAGAGCAAGAGCAAGTCTGACAAGAAGGATAAGGAGGACAAGGAGGAGTCCAAGTCTAAGAAATCTAAAAAGTCCAAGGAAGAGGATCGCAAGAAGCGCCGTGCCTTTGTTGGTTAAACATTTGTGTTCTTTTTCAAACATTTTTGTGCTACAATATGTGCCTCGTATAAAAAACTTTTTTATACTTTTAATACCAAGCGAGCAAGTGTATTGAAGCTGGACCTGATTATAGCAATTGATCAACAATGCCATGGCGCAGTATTTTGTTTGACCTGAAGGAAGACGTGGCGCATTGAACATATTGCCCATTTGTCCATACTTGAATTGTTTATTTGTATACAAGTGGCAAAACTTAATCCGCGGAATGTTTACAACAAACAATTTGAAAATTTGTTTGGCGAAGAATGACGAGTCGTTTTTTATTTAATTTCAGGACGCAAGTGCACACTTTCATTTGCTGAGATTTATTTCTTGAGGCTGCTTTCTGATCGTCAAAAGGCAAAAAAGGCAAAAAAAGACAAAAAGAGAAGCCAAAAGGTAAAAACTACTCTGCGGCGCCTGCAATATTCAAGCCAAGTTAAGTCAAGCCAAGTCAAGCCAAGCCAAGCTAAGCCAAGCCAGGCCAAGCCAGGCCAAGCCAACCCAGCCAGCTTGGATATTGTATCCCCAGCATTTTTATTTTTATGGCGCAACCCTTTTTCCTGCCTTGTCTTTTTTCCTGCCTTGCTCACATAAACCCACCCACTTTTCTCACTCCCCCCCCCCACTCTCTTCAGCTCAGCTGCCCAGTCTGCCTGGCCTTTTCGCGCTTGCATATAAAAGGAAATATGATTTTGGCTGCAACCTTTCTTTCTTCTTTCCTGCCTTGTTACCCAAGCACTCGTTTTCTATTTCTGCGCTGCCAACACGCACACTCACACTCACACTCACTCGTATCAACCAACACAAAAGGCGAACGCAAAACGCAAACAAGCACTAACCTTATTCTATACACACACAAAGCAAGTACCAACCATGGGCCTAGTCTATCCACACCGTCACTACATTAGCAGCACCAACACCACTGCGCCCTCTATATCGTCTGCCTCGTCTGTATCGTCTGCTGCTGCTGCCCACACGTGCTGCACCGCAATGGCAGTGGCCACTCCAGCTTCCACATCAGCCATGACACGCACGCAGCGCCGCGAGGTGATGGTGCGCAGGGCAGTCGCTCGGCGCATTGTGCAGCAGGTGCGGAACCAACGCAAGACCCGGCAGCAGCACAGCAGGCGCAGCGCGTCGACAGCCGAGTGCAAGCTCGCCGATGACGATGAATCCACTGCCGCGGTCGCTGCTATCGCTGCGCTGGCGGCAGCCATGTCGGCGACGCGGACTGGAAACTACATTGGTAAGCGGCCACCTCATCTGGCATAGACATTGGTTGAAAAATGGCCAATTGTTTTTTACATGTTGATGTGTGTCCTGTCTTTTTTGTCTACGTGCTTGTCCGCTTGCTCGGCTTCTTGCCGAGTGAGTGCAAGGTGTAATTTTTAATTTGCAATATGTTTGCTGTGGTTGGCGGCTCTTGTCGGAGAGCCAACGCGTTTTTTGTGCTTGGCTCGCGATGCAATGTCCCCGAACGAGCGTGGCTGCAACTTTTTGTATATATGCCTGTTGATTTGTTCATTTGTTCGTTTGTTCGTTTGTTCGTTTGATTATTTGTTCATCTGTCCGCGTAGTATCTGCTGGCGCTTCAATTGAATCTGCAGCGACATCAAGTTTAAGTGAAGCGACATTTGATGTCGAGTACTCTGTAGAAACAAAACAATGCGCGACAAGCAGTCACGAGTGCCAGCTGGTGCGCTCTACTTTGCCATGCTATTTTATCACTTTACATGTTGCAACACTACATTTGTTCTATATACACCTCACTCACATGCTTGGCTCTGCTGCTGCATTGCTTTACTCCCGATAAAACCTCAGCTAATCGAGCACCGCAGTCACCGTTTAAATTGGCTTTAACGGGCGTTGAATCGTTCCCTTTTCCGTTTTTCGTTCTTCCATTTTCCGCTTTCTCTTTGATTTTTTATTTGTTTTTGTGCGCTTTGCCTTTGTTTGGCGCACAGTCAGCAGCATGACTGAGATGGAAATGACGGCTACACACCATTTCGGCACGCAAATTGCTGCTGCTGCCGCCAAAGTTAGCATGTGCTCGGCTGCTTGCTTGTTCATTTGACCTTGCCTGCGCTCATACGCTTTAATTGCCTCGTCATTGTGTGCCAAGTACTAATATGCACGTGTATTTATAACTTTCTCTGAACAATTGAAACCGATAACCCTTTATCCACACATTTTAGACGATCAGTGTGTAACGCGCGACGATGACTCGCGGCCGGTGCCCGTCCTGGACAACACCGCGCTGTCTGCAGAGGCGGAGGCAGAGGCAGAGGCGGTTCTAGACGCAGAGTGCCAGATTATCCAGCGCATCATCGAGCTGCAGAGGGAAAAGGAGCGGCTGCTGCGGTTGATGCACCAGGGCAAGGCCACATCGACATGATCTGAATCGAATCGAATCGAATCAAATCGAATCAAATCAAAAAGGCTTACCAAGCCATATACTAGCATCACCAATTCAATGTTGTTGCATACATTGTTGCCGCCGCTGACCTTTTATTTTTCTCTCTTCGCACTTGTAATTATAATTAACACGACTCTTCATATTATTTGCTCCCCAGTTTGCTACACAATATACTATTCGCCAATTTGGCTTTTTGGAAAATATTTATACTTTCTATTGCTGCCAATGAAGAGCCGTTATAGTGCGTAATTCGTTACAAATAGTGCACCTTTACATTTCTCAATTGGTCAAAACGGATCGCTGTTTGTACATTGTCTTGAAGCGAGCGCTTCCAAGCCAAAGCTTCTAATAAATGCGTGGATTGTATGTATCAAATTTAATTTCATTTGTAATTTTTTGAGGGGCTTGTATTTTACATCTGTCACATTGTGCGCCTTTTGAGCGTGTGCCACACCTTAGGGCCGAGTGGGCCATGGGATTACGGTAGTGCCCTCCAGTTTTTAATAACGGCAGGTGATTGTCAATTAACTCGTTTGAGCCATGAATAATTCAGCAAAATAGACGCGCAGCGCCAAATAAATTGCGCACAGACAGACTAGACTACTGTGATCAGGGCCGAATGTACGCAGCCGATCTAAGAAGAGGCTATGTTCTGGATCCAGAAATGCACTTCAGCCTAATGTTCGTTTACTATAGTGCAAGAAAAAATCATGTTTTTTTACAAGTTTGAATTTTTTTGGCAGTGATTTGAGCAAATCTAAGAAAAAAGGCCTATTTGGGGGAAAGACATTTTTGCAAGTGAAAATTTTGGGCACATTGAAGCGATTGGCTGGTGTGAAGTGTCGCTTGAAAACATAAACAAACCTTTCGCTTCACTTATTTTTTCTTCATTTCAAACGATAAACCTTCTTTTACTTTCTTCTCATTCGCTTTACGCCAATATAAAAATACACTTTTATTTCATCCGAGTAACTGATACTTTTGCTAGTGCACTTTTTACTGTCATTCTAAATTGAGTGAAAGTCTAATTTCCTCAACTGCATTTCTGGGACGCTATCAACACTCGGAGGTTGTAAAGGTGACTTTCTTTACTGCTACTGCATAGTTGCACCTTAAATAACAAGTCGAATTCGGCACACATCAGTACAAGTGCAACATTACTATGAGCAACAGCGACTATTTGGATACCCTCCGCAGGTTTGAGCTGGAGCACCAGTACCCTTGGTAAGGCGCATGTTTAATTATTTCATTTGCTTATTTTTCTGTCATCCATATGAATACAACCAAACATAATTGACAAGGCACATTATTCTAAAACATCGTACTAAACGCCGGTGGCACTTGCCCTTTATATTGTGTAGCCTCTACGGAAGCGGAATCACCTCCCTCGATCGATTGGTGCAGGTAAGTCAACAAAACAATGATGCAATGCCATTACGATATATCTGCACTGAGTGCCAGTAAGACATGTATGCTTATTAACAAGTCATTTTCATGTTTTATTTTGATTGTAGCTGGACCCGTCAAGGGTGCATACGCTTGGAATCAATGGTAGAGACGACCTCGAAAACCTCAAGGCGCTGATCCTGGAACTCAGAGCGAGCATGGACATGGGTGACGACTCTCATTACGAAGAAGAGCAGCCGACCAGATCCTCGGGCTACCAGCGCAGACGCACCGAGTTTGTAGGGTTTACTGACAGCGACGAAGAGCCCAGCACCATGAGGGGCCGCGATGCCGGCCATGACCGCGCGGGCGTTTCTACTAGACCAGGTGGGCAGACACGTGTGCCCACGAGACGACCATCGAGCATTTATAACTCTAACGGCCCAAACAGCGGGACTCCGCGCTCAAGTGCCCCTAGCAACTCATTCTCACCACCGCCGGTGCAGGCTGCGCACCATGGCTCCTCGGGACAGACCTTTGGCGAGCCCAGGACCATCGGAAGGCAGGGCTTGTCGGCAAATGGCAACACGACCCCGTCAGTAATCAACCGGCGGCAGACGCTTGCCCCCATGTCGTCGACGCAAGGATTCGGATTTGCACGCGCCAACGATAACGCGCTGGCTTCGAACACCATGCTGGGCAACGATTTTGGATCTAGCGTAAACAAGGCGGGTCCTGCGGCCACTGCCCACCGCTCGCGCACAGTTAGCGCCAGACCCGGGACAGCAAACCCCAGAGGTACGCGCCCAAACGCAGCTAGCGTCAATGGCATTCTCGAGAGGTCCAACAACTTTGCGCAGGCACAGCGGCTCGCCGAAAATCCTGATGATGACCTGGAGCACGTAGTTCGCAAGACCGGCCAGAGTGGGCTAGTCAATACATACGGCATCCCCACGCGCCCTTCGACCGCGCATGCCAGGCGGCCTGCCAATGAACGCCGGAGCCTGGCGCCGAGCTCAACAAATGGGCCGTTGCTGCGACCCAAGGTTCCGAATCGCGGGTCTAAGGATGACGGCGCAGGCGGTGGATTGGGTTCAAAGGAGGGGCTGTCAAACTTGAACGACAAGATCCGAGTGTGCGTGCGCAAGCGCCCGCTGAACAGGAAGGAGCGGGAAAAGAGCGAGAAGGATATTGTCATTACCAACGGGTGTCGGTCGCTGTCCGTAATGGAGCCCAAAACCAAGGTCGACATGACAAAGTACATCGAGGAGAGC